GGGGGGGGGGGGGGGGTAGAAATGTTTATGGTTAAAGTGACAATAGACTTTTATTGTTTGGTGGTGGCTATGGGCGATGGGTGGGAACTTTTGGGTTGCCTATGGCAGTGGGCAGTGCGTGGGGATTTTGGGGTTGATAGTTGTAGTGGATTGGTTGTGGCAATGCACGGTTAGTGGGGATTTTGGGGGTTTATGGTGGTGGTGGATTGATTATGGCAGTTGCAGTGCGTGAGGATTTTCAATTAGTTACTACAGTGGGCCTAGATAGATGGGATTTTTTGGTTAGAGGTGGAACACGACAGTTTGTGTTAGACCGGGGGTGTTAGGAGAAGAAGATTAGATGCAGAGCCAGCTCCACCCCCAAGGCAAAGGAGTCGATCGCCTAGGGCCCCATTCACTTAGGATCCTATTCGCGCATCTCTTAAAATGATATGGTTAAATTTATATATATATATATATATAAAGAGCAATGCTATTGGAACATAATTTAGGTACTTAATGATTGTGGTCATTAGATTGTTAGTGAATTCCAATATTAAATTATCATTAAGTCCCAACACTATCAATACAATGGTCATAATGCATTAAGTTCTTAAATTATATTTTTAAATTATATTCCAATAGCATTAGTGGAAAAAAAAATTAAGATATTATGTCAAATGATAGAAAATTTTTAAAATAATTTTTAAAATCATAAATATATGTACATTCAAAAAAGAAAAAAAAATTGTAACATATCCTTGTACAAAAGAAATACAAGACTCTATTCTCCCATTTTATTTGAATTCTCAATAATTCTGACCTATTTACTCGGTCTAACTTTTTTAAATTATAATTTTTGAGATAATTTTGATCTTAATACAATTATTCAAATATTGTGCATTTATTTTCTAAGTTATCATGGACATTAAATATAACCACTAAAAAATATAAATTTAATTATTTAAAATTTTTGTTTAGGGCTCAAGTAGTTTGGGTTTCTATCATCTTCAAAACCAGCTCTCAAAGCTCGCGCCTTTCCCACCAGTGGCTCTACTAATCCAACCTCTGGATCGGCTCTCGAGGCTAGGATGGTCTCCGTTCCGGCCATTATGTCTCCGACTTTGCTCGATTTCGAGACCTCTGTTTTCAAAAAAGAGAAAGTCACCCTTGCTGGTCACGACGAGGTACATTTTCTCTCTCGTAAGACCCAGACACAGTCTCTCTCTATGCATACTTCTGTATGTTTGTGTATTTGTAACGTTTATTTTGTAGTATATTGTGAGAGGAGGGAGGCATTTGTTCAATTTATTACCTGATGCGTTCAAGGGAATCAAACAAATTGGCATTATCGGTTGGGGTTCTCAGGTATACCTATGCATGTTTGATTCGTTGCGTACTTTTATTTAAGATGATTATTTGATTGCATATTTGTGCATTGTATGTGTGTATGATTGTTGGATTTTCATGTTGTCCTGTTTGATTGCGGATATTATTGAATTTGAAAACTAATAGCTGAAAGTTGTAGTTACATTTGTTGCCCTGCATTTGTTTATGTGATGAACTGAAATATAGGGAAATAAAATGCTTAAAAACTTTTCTTGAATGTGACGGTATGTTCATTTCTTTTTCTCTCAATATGTTCAAAGAGAAGATTAAAAACTAAGGTCTCCATAAAAGAAATCTGCTATATTAATTAAGCCAAAAATACATTTAAATATGTGTACGAGGTTTAGTGGCTTGGAGTTTTCCCAATAACGATTTAATTGAGCTTCAACATTTATACTCTTTTTTTTTTTGCAATTATGAAAACTAAGGAAATTAAAGATCACAAAACAACTTTTGCAAGGCTTTGTCTATCTGCAATAGTGTACTTCATCTGGCGTGAAAGAATTTGAGAATATTCTGTAATTCTTGCAAGGACCCTTGTACAACATTGAGGATTATTAATGACATGATGACATACAGGTTGACCTCTTTGAAGGTTTCAAATTCTTCTGAAGTTATGAATACTATGGGAAATTGGAGTTTCAGCTAGTGGACTGCGTTGACGAATTAGTTGCTGCTGGAAAATGCTTGTTGACTTGTCTGGATAATGTTTCTTGACAGTTTCATGTTGAACTAATTGATGCCAATGTCTTCTGATTTCAGATCTTTATGAGTTCCCTTGCACTGTTGTTTCTGCGTGGGGATTTTTGATTACTTTTTCCTTTCTTTGTAAAGCTTTCACTCATATCAATAAAAATTTCATTTATTTAACACCC